CTTTCCCTAGTGCAGCAAGGAAATATGAATATGTTTTTATGTAGGTTCAACGATTCATACATCTTTCTCTGGGTAGCGAGAGATGAAGATCAATTTGCTGTCTTTATACAACTCATACGTACATTTTGATGACAGCATACCTGCAGCACAACATACCTCATTACTTTAATCTGAATCATCCTCACCATACAATCTCAACCACCTCAGTTCATCTCAGCCACACACATAGATTCTAGACTTTTCTTTTCCTTCTACTTTTACCTTTTCACTGTTAGTGTACAAGTTATGCTCCGGTAAGCATCATATGAAAATAAATGGATTAAGGTCACGATAGCTCTCTCTTCCTCTCTGTTTTGCATCCTTCTTTCTTCCCACTTCATTTGGTTTTCTTTCATGGTATCAGCTTCAGCCACATTGCAATGGACGTGGTTAGCAGACCTAACTTCCCAAAGCAAATGTTGAGAAGTTGTTAGAATTTTGTTTGAATTGTTTACAAAGAACAATTGAATTGAACCTAATTGGACTAAAATGTAACTAAAACAAAACTTTAAATTTACAAATGAAGAACAAAATTAAAAATTAAAATTAGTATATAAATCATCTCAAAACAATAAATCAGAATATAAACCGGATATGTACAAAAGTTACAGAGGACTCCAGTGTTTCTTCTTAGTTTTTTTTTTCTGTTTTTTTTTTAATGGAGGAATATTGATACAAAGCTTAGAATTTAATCACTCTTTCTTTGAATATTCTATAACGCAATAAGTCAAATTTAGACGCCTAATGTCTTGCCGTCCAAATATTATTTTTTTTTCTTATATGGGATAAATTATAAGGAGTACCATACATATTTTCATAGCTTCCTGTTGATTGCCCCTTGTAGAAACTATTATAGATGCACCAATCAAAACTGCAGAGCTCGCAAGTACGTGGAGAGGGCGTCAGATGATCCTGCTTCCTTCATCACAACATATGAAGGAGATCACAAGCATTAATAAAGAGGATGGAGATGACATCATTGATTTTTACATCAGACTCTGATACTGCTGCTTTTTATAAAAGTTTTAAGGCAAAGTTTAGTTGTGATTTTTGGTTTCTCCCTGATATAAATATAAGGGCAACTGTAATCAATCAAAGTTATCAATATATAACGATGATGATGAGGAGAAAACATTATTAGAGGTGAAATAATTCAGGAGATTCAATGCTGAGTCTAGTATATTTTTAACCTGCAATTTGATTTAAAATTTATTTTTTAGTTTCAAATAATGGCATTTTTTGTTGTAATATTAAAGATTTGAGTGTTATAAATCTAAATATGAAAGTCTAAGGGCTGTTTGGTAGCCGGTTTTAAGCAGGATTTACGCAGGATTTAGGCTAAATCCTGCCAAACAACACAATGCATCTCCGTAAATCCTGAGATTTGGTAAACCCTAAAATGACGCCGATTCACCGTAAATCGGCATTATCCCGTGAATCGGCGGATTTAATAAATCCGGAACGAGCGAAGAGGAAGAATGGAGCGAGCGGGCTTACTGGCAGGAGCGGAGCGGAAGGATGAGAAAGACGGGAGCTTCGGTGGTCTATGTAAGCCGCGATATCGTTGTTGCCTTCCCAGCTAGCTCTAATGGCGACTGGATCGTGAAGGTTCGTTCACGAAGGCGATTGAGGGTTTTGGCGAGAAACTGGCAGAGGGTTTCTGGCGGGAAGCGATGAATAAATACTTGATTTAGTTAGTTGGTTAATAATTACTAATTAAATTATATATTATTGAATTAATTATAATTACATAAATTTAAATTTAATTATTTAATAGTTAAGTACTGAATAAAAATATTTTTAAAATTTAAAATTATTTAATAGAAAATTTAACTAATTCTTAATTTATATTATTGGTTAATAATTGCTTAATGTTAAATTATTATTTAACAACAATTTAAAAGTTACTAATTATTAGTTTATATAATTAATTAATATTGAATGTAAATGTCCTTTTTATGCATTTTGAGATACACATTTGTGTTTGTTTGTTATTTAATATTTATTTTTTGATATTTATTCTCATAAATATTGTTAATTCTTTCTAAAACTCAGAGATCTATTGGATTTATTCACTAACATACCAAAGAGTTTTCTGGATTCAGCGACTTCAAGATTTAATAAATCCAAATATACGGGATTTATTAAATTCTATTTAAATTAAATCCTACTTGTAACCAAACAACCCCGTGTTATATATATATATATATATATATATATATATATATATAACTTCTGTGGCATTTATGTAAATTTTCACACACGCACTCTTCCATATTATTGAATCGTGATTTGTTCGTGAATCATATCCTAAGAGTTAGAGCATAAAAAATGAGAGAGATTGAGTGATATAGAAAGAAATGAACCGTAAAACGTATTATTCATTAGTTATTTCTCATCCGCTCGACTGGATTCCATTATTTTTGGGGATTCAAACCTGTTGTCAGCTGCTTACCATCTCTTCGGCATCATTTGGTCTCCAGTTGTTGTAGTCGTAGCTCCCCTCCTAGAGAGTTCTTCTCTAATTAGCATTATAGGGCTTGATTTATGTAATGGGGAGTCACTCGTGAATACTCATTTTCCATTATCCTTTTATTTTAATTTTTTAGTACCACTCTTACATACATGTAAAATTTGAAATTTTGATGTGAGATATGTAAATAAATAAGAATTGAGTGGTATGGATGCAAAACTTATGATCAAAAAGACAAAAACAAATAACTTATGTATCTTTCAAAAAAAAAAAAAAAAGGCAAATAACTTACGAACAGATGCTGAGATTCTCAAGTACGATTTGTGAAGTCTAGCTATATAGCTATATATAGATTTCTCCTGCCATTGCAACATGGATTCTCCCTCCCCAGACATCTTGCAAACCAACTCCACCCTTCGCAACCCTCTCACCAAAATCAAATAAACAACTATTCCCATCTCTCTCAAGTTCCTAATGTCTCATCTTAAAATAATGACCACACAGCCTCTGTCTCATGACAACAGTTCCATGGCAATTAACTGACCCATAAACACCCATTCTCCCAAAGTTCTATCAAAACATTTTGGACAATCAAGCAGACAATCCTGAATATCTCGTGTGGCAACTTGTGGATCGCAATCTTGCATCAGCTATCCTGTCCAACATTTCATCCTCCACAATTTCATGCATTATTCATCTTAACACCACTGCTAACATTTGAACCTCCCTTGAAAGAAGATTCCAATCAACAGATTGCTCTAGAGTCATGCAATTCAAAAACAAGCTTCACCATCTTTCCATGGGCAACAACACCATGACAAAGTATCTTGACAAATTTAAAACCATGGTTGACAATATTGGTGCTGCCATAACCAAAGTTGACAACGATGGATATTATATTGTAAATATTAAATGGATTGCCCCCCAACTACAAAGGCTTCAATGGCTTCCAGACAGCTATCAGAACTAAATTGAACCCAATCAATCTTGAAACATTTTATTCTCTTCTATATAGTGAAGAGTGTCATCTTGCAAGTGAAGCTACCAAGATTTCTCAACAAATTGCTCTACTTACATTCAAGAACAACGGTATGCAGTAAAATCAACACAATGCCAACGCCAAATAACACGCCACCAGGTCTCATAACAACAATAATAATACCAAGAACGAGCCATCTATCGCTTGCCTAATCTGCTATAAGAAATGGGACTCAACAGCCCAATGTTGGCATAGATCCAACTTATAATATAAACCCTCAAACGCCCCCTCAACTGTCGTGCTTCAAACCTGTAATACCCAAGAATTTTACATATGAGAATCAAGTACAATACTCGAGCTTGTACTTCATTAACAGATACTTCAATATGTCATTAAGCGGCATTTTTATGTTCTTTTGGATTTTAAATTATTTTTAAAATAATTGGTTAATAAATAATAAATATATACTAAGAAACGTATAAAAGAAAGAATTAACCTATAAACTTAAAATAATTTTTATGACTATTATAAGCCTGATCGACAAAATGCCTGCACCAAAATATAGAGAATAATGAAATTTAATTACTTTGATTTTTCCATATTTTTATGATAAATATAAATTATAAGATTAATGCTAAAATAATAATTTCTGAATAAATGTATGTGTGCGGGTATAATTTTAATTCGAAAGTCATTTGACATATATTTTTCAAACTATTTTTACCAGAGTGTCCTAGACATGATAATCTATCTTATGACTATTTTTTTATAATTTTTAGAGTTTTAGATCTCAAGATATAAAATGTTTTATATGAACTTTGCAATTTAATCCAAACAAATTGAATAATTACACATATATCATTTTCACATTTTTATATATAAAATTCACCAAGCCCTTTCCAGAAAATTAATTCCAAAGCTTTAGAATTTCCAAACAGTGAGGCCATTTAAGAAATTAAGAGAGAGAGAGAGAAGGAGAGAGAACAAAATCAAGTTTTTGAAGGCAGTGTCCTGATTTTGCGTGTGACTGACCAATTGAAAAAATTGACCGACTCAAGATAGACTACTATTTCTCTATCTCTCATTTCAATAATTTTATTGTTTTAAGTATTTTTTTAATCTTTTAGTAGCCCAAAACCATCTATAGTTTCTCATATATTCAATTTAAAGGCCCCCACATTTATATTTCTCAGATACAGCCACCATCACAAAGGTTATCAGTATTTGACATTATCACCAAGAAATTATCATTTCTCTTCATGTTATTTTCATAAAAATGTGTTTTCCCAATCAAATTCTCACCTCCCCTCCTCTCACCTAACAAGTTACAACTCATCCTTATCCCTCTCTCATGGTGTCCATCTCCTTTATCAGTTATCCGCCTTCATCCCCCCATTCAACTCATACTTCCTCCTCACTCAAAGACACATCCACCACACATCAATCCACATCCTCTACTCCCACTATTCCTCTCTCCAGCCCTTTTTCATATGAACCCACCGATTAGGATAACCTTTTCCCACACCCTCTTTTTGTCCCTCACACTTCTCATCCCAAGCTTACCGGATTCAAAACTGTATCTCTAAAACCCAAACAAATTCTTAACCCTCAACACACACAGACACCCCAACAACCTTTTTCCCAAGCCATGAATCAACCACACTGGAGACGAGCCATGTCTGAAGAATTCATGGCCCTCCAACAACAAGGCACATGGTCTTTAATCCATCCTCCCCCTATTCAACACGTCTTAGCTTACAAGTGGACCTTTAATATTGAACATCACACTGATGGCTCTATTGCAAGATACAACGCTTGCCTTGTTGCCCATGGCTGCTCTCAACAACAAAACATCGACTGCCATGACACTTTAGTCCCGTTGCAAAATTCTCAACCATTATGATGCTCATTACACTTGTTGTTCACAAGAAGCGGGACATCAAAAACTTGATGCTTCAAACGCTTTCCTTCGTGACAAACTCGATGATATTGTCTATATGAAACAACCCTTTGGCTTCATTGACACACAATATCTGCATTATGTTTGTCAATTGCTCAAATCCATATACGGTCTAAAGAAATCACCACATCAATAGTACTCAACTTACTGTCAATTTCTCTCTACACAAAAATTTAAACTAAGCACATGTGATCCTGTTAGGTATCACATGTGAATCGCGGCTCTGCCAGTAGCCTTCGACGACAGGCGAGAGATTTGGCTTCGGGTTCGGAGTTCTTTCAGTGACGTTAAGGAGTAGTTCGACCTGTTAGAGATCCTGAATCTCGGGAAAGGAGAGGAGGATCGCGGAAGTTCTAGATGAAGCACCGCGGTAAGCGGGAGTTCGGGAGTCGGGAAGGTCGCAGGAACAAATCATTCGCGAAACCTTTCGGCGGTGACGGGAAGCGAGACGGGAGTTCGACGGCAAGCTGCAGGGAAGGATTCTTTGCGCGAAAGCGGCAAGGCGGTGCAGCGAGGACGGACCAAAGAAGGAAAATCAGCTTCTCTCCTTTTCTGTTGCTGCATAATTGGAAGGGTATCAAGGAGAATATCTGGAGAAATTTTTTATTTCTTCCTGGAGATATTGTTTGCTTTTACTAAACAGGAGAGATTCAGGAAATGAAGGAAAGTTTATATCTGGGGGAATCAAGGAATCTTTAATTTCTTCTAGAAGAATATTTCCTGGAGTTATCCTTTGCTGAAGGCTGCTGAGAGAGG